CCTGCTGAGGGGGAAATCTCAGCTCTTCTCATGACATGCATAAAATTTCCTTGTGTAGGTAGCTTCTTTTTTATGTCTGATTTGCCTATGACAAAGTGAAATTGTATACAAGGAAGCTTTTACAAACATTTGAGTCAGGAAGATACATATGTTGCTTTGGTATGTGTTATGTCTCTATTTCTTTTTTAAAATGTAGAATCTTATTAAATATTAACTATTATACCAACTGAAGAATTGATCTAAAACAGCAGGCATGCCTGCAGGATGATTTTGTTTCTTACAATTCTAGCAGACTCATATTCAAAAAACTAAAGCTTATTTGTTGTCTGCAAACTATGAGCATGCCCAGGTAATTGCACACATGAATCCGGAACTTGCGTGTACAAATATCTATTTTATGAGCACAGCTGCCTGGTTCATTCGGGATATTTTTCAGGGACAATTTAACCACAGGTTTCAAAAAAATAAATAAAAACTAAATAAGAAGCCTTACCCTGACAGCAGTATTTGTTTTAAAGTCTGGCCTCAAATCCAAAAAATATAAGTCAGATTTTTCCATTAAATGCACGCAGCATCATAGCACAACTCAGACAAGTGAAGGCTCAAGAAGAAAATGCATGTGAAAGATCTGAGTTTTCTAAGCTATTTTAGCTAAAGTTTCAAACCTTTTTTTTCTGTTAAGTAACCCTGAGCTGCAAGTCTCATTCTCTAGTGGGTGTTTGAATCTTACCGTTCTCTTCTCCCAGGACGACACCACTTAAGCAATAGCTAGAACTTCTGCCAAGTGTGCAGGAGGAGTGAAAGAAACTAACCACAAACCTCAATTTACATCAGGGCATTTTGATAAAAATACAAAAATCCTACATTCAGGTTAGTGACTGAGGTTAATTACTGCCTCTGGTAATAGACAGAACATGTGTTGCAGAAGCATCTATGACTTCATATCCATCCCACCCTCACTTCATTTCCCCCCAAACAAAACAACCTTCCCTCTTGAACCTAGGAAAACAATTGCATGCGAGAAAGGTATGGGTATTCCCCTGGAGATATCAACTCATTCATCTTCTCCTTATACTTAACTCTTAGAAAAGAAAAAAAAGGAGATTGTCTGTCCATGAAAATGGGTGTTTCAGTGGGGTAAGACACATTTGCTTGTTCGAAGCACTATTCTCAACACTTACTGGTTTCCCAAGTTACACCATGGAATGAGGAACAGTGAACTCAACAAGGCAGCAGCCACTGTTGTCTTTCAGACATTTATTTATTTTTGCAGGGTGGCTGAGCTTGAAAAGTTAGATCAATGACATATTGGTTTCCAATGTTTTAAAACCCTCTTAACATGAAAGGCAAGACTAGCAAGAGATGATGCATAAGGTATATGCTGTCCACCTTTTACCAGCATCCCTTCTGTCAGCTTTTGGGTATGATCCAAATTATCCCTGGGTAGATACTTTATAAATGCAATGCACTTCAAATTCTACATCAGCTGGACAACCATGTAAAATAAGGTTTCAGGAAGGCATAATTAAAACCGTTAACAGCACTGCCTTGGCTTAAGATACATCCACTGCTCCACATGCTCTAGTTACTGTTGCATTTCGTGTGGCAAGTGATGAGTCCCTGTACTAAACCACAAATGTGGCCTTTTACAAATGTTGCTGTTAGCTCACTTACTTCTGGGTTCGCGAGGTCCATCCACTGTTATCTTGATGGCTCTGTGGTATGTGGCTACTTGGGGTGGATTTGTGAAGACTGTGATAGTCAGTGTGAAGCTTTTCCCTGCAATAGGAAAAAATGTTACTGAACATGTGCATCGAGAAAAGATATACTTGTCATTCTAAATAGCACTAGGACACATCAAGTGGCACTAAAACACATTAGCTGTCCATATTGAAAGATAGATATGTGCACAGACAGCACGGTGCATAATCTCATAGCTCTCTACTGCTGGATACATTCCCTCTATGGCAACTGCTCCAAGCATTTGAAAAAAATTAATTTATATTTAAATGAACTACACTTTGTTTGTAAAATAAGGAGGTTACTCGTAATAGCTATAGTTTATCTGATCTACATGACTACTGGTACATTAGCTGTACTTTCTAAAAGGTGTAAGTTCAGAGAGGCTTAGAAATTGCGGCTGACTCTTCCAAAACTGCCATGGGAATCTGATCAACAGTGCCTGTTAAAATTAAAGAGAATTGGGTGCTGAGATCCCTTAGGCAGACTGTAAAATCCTATGCTTTGTGGTTGAAGCTACCATTAGTTCAGTTCCATATTATGAACCAGAACCCTTTAAAAATTATCTGCTACTGTAATGCCAAGAAACAAGGGAATGGAAAAAATAAAAAATCCCTTCAGCTTGTCCACAGAGAATTAAACCATTTTATGAAGCCATAGCAGAGTATTATATGCTTAGTTTCTCTATCATTCAATATGAAAACTGTGAAGACCTTTTCAAAATTGCTATGTGCATGCCACAGCTCTGAGTTCTGAAAAGTGCTCATGTTGACCGCTGCTTTTGTATCCCTTCATGATTGCAATGCATTCAAATCCTTCCACCTCTGTATTTGCTTTTGGCCAATGACAGCACTTACTTCAGGCATTTTTTAAATAACAAAAGTAACTTTCTATGTCTTTCATAGGACCTCATATATGAATTCATTATGGCTTTGGCCTGGACAGCATAAAAACATTGGCTGTCAGCAGGTTTAGTTTAGTTATCTCAGCATCACAGAGGATTCAGATAATGACAAGGATCTTCATTATCAGTAAGAGACATCAAGGGATATCACCCCAAGTTAGATAACCAGGAACTGTTGTGAGAAAATTGAGGTTCTCCTTCAGGTGCGTGCTGTGCAAGCTTTCGCATACAGCTCCGTCTGCTTCATTTTACCACTTGGTTGCGGCCTTTCTGAATGCTGAGTTTCTGCCATTCTGAGACTTCCCCTTTTTTACATTTTGCTTGGTTTATCTATATAAATATAAATGCCTGCCTACAGTAGCAATATTCCCCCACTCTCCATGCACATTCACTTGCAATTCAATACTTCTCTTAATGCAGTTCCTACTTTGGTGCTAATGGTCTGCAGCAACATCTCAGCGAGCACACACGCATAGCTGTTACTGGAAACTGTCCTCATCGCACCGCTGTGAATCAGGGAGGTATTCTCCCCACTGTGCAGATGAGGAGCTGCGGGGAGATGAAGAGTCTTGGCCAAGATCTCATAGGAAGCCTGCGGCCAGGGATGCCAACTGCTCTGGCTGTGACAATGATTTTGAATCAAGCCTGAGAAAACAGGAGCTGAAACACAAGCCTCCCAAATACTAGGCCAGTGTCCTCCCACATCCTAGCTGCAAAGCAGACCCTGACATCAAAAGAATTGCAACAGAAGCAAAAGTAATTTTTGATCACTGTCTCAAGGCTTTTGGTCCTCAGCTGTTGGATCCTGCATCAAGCACAACTCACCCTGGACAACAAGATACAAATCATTGTGTTCTTGACTTTTTTTCTAATGCCAAATTACATGATAAAGCTTTACAGCTTTGTTACAAGAGGTATCAGAAATAAAGCTCAATAAAATTTCCTCCAGAAATATAAAACCATAGCATTAGGTTTAACAAACATCAGAGATGCACCTGTAGATCTTTCTTCTTCCCCAAAATAGCTTCCCCATATTATTATATACAACACATAGATCACTAGGACTGAAAAAAAAACTTTAAAAATATAGGTTATTCTCTTTACTAATCTACAGTATTTGTATCTTGCTTCTAATTTATATTTTGGCAACTAATAATGCATTAGGTAAGCCACTCCTGCTGTTTTTCTAGAATACATAGTCAATTCATTTCATTAGAAGGCTTTTGTGCATTTCTCAGATTGCAGAAAAAAAAAACCTTCAGGGAAAAAAGATATAGAAGTTATTAACTGCAATAAAATGTGGCCACACTACCAGTCTGCATGACTAGAATAAAGAAGAAGAGGAAAGTGAAGTTACTTTAAAGATCTTCAAAACTGACTAGATCCCAGAGCCTGTATAAGGTTGTGATAAAAACTGGCAAAAGCAGGAAGACACTTAGCTTACTTCTTGTTGACAGAAGACTATTCATTAACCACATACTGGTTAACCACAGGGCCATATAACCATAAACCTACGTGTCACTCATTGCTACTTACCAATAATTCCGTCTGTGTTTTTTTTCCTGGTTATTCCATTTCATTTGCATTTAGTTTTATTAAGTGCTTTTATCACTTTTATTCACAGCTTATACATAATTCACCATCTATGTGTCTGATTGACAAAGGCAGATTTAGACTGGAGGAACTGTCAGCAAAATCTATGTTTTATGGATATAACTGTTCTGGGATGACAGCGTAACTATAAACCTCCCCTCCTTGCTTTTATCTACTATGATAGAGCCAAGATAGAAGATAAATTTTTATTTTCAACATACACTTGCATAAGAAACTTATACAAAGATATACAACGTACAGCAGACCACACTGCTGGAAATAATACCTGATTAGTCACTGGCAGCCTTCTTCAGACTCCTGCCTTTGGAGGCTATACTAGATGTCACAATTTCTGATCCTTAAGTAATTGGACCTCCGAACTATCCAAGGAATACCTACTCCGAGCACCTAGTATCTCTGTTTGACTCAGAAGGCAGAGGTGGGTGCCTCCCAAACTGAGTCAGATCCCCTAGGTGAAGCAGTGACCTCTCTATCAACTGTAAAGGCAGATCAAATGCCCCCAGATGACATTCTGAAACACTGGCCTAGTTCAGATGCCTCAGTCAGACAGGAAGATAGTTTCATTATGGCCCTCAATAGCCAGCAGTCATAGTAAGATAGCGCATACCCCTTCACGAGCTAACATGAAGATCTGGGACCCTCTAGGTTAAGCAGTCACACAAACCTACAGAAAACCATATGCAAATTAGCTTGGGTATACAATATATGCCTCAATATGGTTAAACTCATCACTGCTGCATGAGCATGGGAGTCTGCTGATGGTGGAAGGGCTGAAGAGTGAAGTCAATGTCAAGTTGTGCCTCGAAGGGTCTTTCAGTCACTTCAGAGACTACTGCTTCCCCTGTAACTATCTCTGGCAGTGCCTATGATTAGGCACACAGCACCTCGTGAGCCCCAGGGGTTAAACTCTCCGGATACGGGGCAGAGCTCTGCCTTTGCAGAACCCTCCCCACAGACATCAAACACTGTAATATGCCTAAGGGTAGAGTGCAAGACTCACTGCTTCAATCAAGTCTTCCCTTACAACTAACGCAGGAAAAACTGCCTCGTACTGTTTATTCTGCAAAAGCATCAAGGTCAATATCCTTTGAGAAAAACTCATGGAAACAGTAGCATATGTGGCCAAATCACAGTACTGACTTTTGAAGTGATACCTAGAGATTCTGTTGATGGGTTTGTTAGAGATTTTACTGTTAACAACGCCCTCAGGAATCATTGCTGATCTGACAGTCAAAAGTCAGACATTAAACCAGTTGTCCCCAGCTCATGGCTTTATAAGAGTGCTTGTGAGAGCCTCTGATGCTGTGCAAAGTTATAAGAACTTAAAAAGAGCAAGAGTAAAGCATAATATTGTCGGCCAGTGCACGCTCAGTAATACTGCTCCTGGGCCAGCAAAAGGTAGGGATCACTGTCCAAAACCCAAGCATCTAGAGGTCTTGCGCCCATGCTCTACACTGCAATAAGGGAACTCTGCATTCAGCTGCATCCCATCTGACAGTATCTGGAAGTAAAACGAGCAGTGAGCTCACATCTAACATGATGCAAGATTTTTTAAGTGGTCCCCCAGAACAACACTCAGCATTGTGCTGAAGGGCTCTAGAGGGAGCAATAGGCTTGTAAACTACGGCCCCTGGGAACGTTTGAGAGGAACCAAGGGGGAAAGAAAATGAATCCCAAGTGACAACACAGTCACATGAAGCTGCTGTATGCTGCTTTAGTCATCCCTAAGCAGTGTCATGACCAGATGGATCTGGAGTGAGAAGACATGCTTAAAATATGAGTGACTCCATGCAAATGACAGAAAACAGAAAAAAAAAAGAGATGGGAAAGACACACAGGCATGAGGGACAGCCTAGCTCGTCTAGAACCTTGAATTGTGTGCGTGCATGCACGTGCATGCGCTTTAAGTATTGGCAAATACAGATGCGGAATGAGGACAGACAAACTTTAGAGAAGACAGGCCACATCTCGAACCTATCATTCCATTTTAATTCATCTCTTTCTTAGGCAAAAAGATGATGAAGTTTCATCCAAATGAGGACAGAATAAAAATGGAGTTAAGGCTTCAGAAGTTGGCCCATATCATGGGGAGGAAGCAAGGTAGGCCAACAGATGATGTGGTTACATTTACTACATTTTGCTTTTGGGACTTATTTTGCTGGTCACAGATGTGTCATTAGTGGGTTTTTTTAATCAATACAAGTAAATTATTAGATAAAAAGAAGAAAAAGGGGAAAGGAGCCAAGAATGCTTGTGCTGACAAGGACAAAACGTATGGATGGAAAAATACGAAATGTAACACAAAAATACAATACAAATAATATTACAGACATTTCTATACTATTAGTGAGAGACTGCCAGGTTCTGGTAAGAAAGATTATTATATTAATTTTTATCCACCTTCTACTTCTTAGTACTAATGTACTTACTTTTATTAAATCACGCCTAATGATCAATTTTATACATCTTTACAATTTGTATCTGCCAAAGTAAAGATTTCTACTGAATTTTAATAACATAT